AGACTCAAGAACTAACATTTGACTGTCTATGAAGCCTCTAAACAACTGAGATGGACGTTGGGACATCACCCACGACATCCTAAAGAACAAAACATATTTAAAGCAATATAAAGGGGATCTTCCAGAAGCAAAAAGTCTCACCAACAAACTCTGAAGCTCAACTAGAATCAACAATGCGCTGGGTGTTGATCCTGGATACCTGTATATGCATCATTAAAAGATTCAGACCAAATGGCATCAGTACATTGAATGTACGAGCATGCGAGGGGAATACTAAATAAGACATAAACTTGAAAGGAACTGAAAGAACAAACATTGTCTCAACTAAACTGAACTAAATTGAACTCATTTCATTATAAAGCAGTATAAACAAGTGCAATATAAAGAAAATCTTTTTGAAAAAAGGATAACAACTGTGTGTATTTAGAAATACAATAATGACTCTATGTGTATGCAAAGATACACTGTAAACTCTGAAATGTATATAAAAATACAATTTACTTCTGTGTATATAAGAATACAAAATACTTCTGTGGTAGTTTCTCTAACCGACAACCATCATTTAAGAGCTACTGTGATGATACAACGTTTTGCCTCACGCTGCCAAGGCCGTCCTATACCTTGCCGAGGGTATAGAACCTGTTAACTAAGTGGATCCACTAATCTATTGTAAAAAAACACTAGGAACCATCTAAAAAGTATGACCCTTTTCTACCCATAGTGGCTACATGGTTTATGGGGGCTGAGAACTGTCTGAACTCTCCCCCATATCGGTGCTCAATACTACTCCCAAAATATACTAGATCAATATGTTTAAAAACATAACTCTGTGGTTTGAGATAATTGCTCAAAACTTATCTCAAAGGCTCCTCTTGGAAATCAAAGTTTCCTCTCTTACTTAATTGTGAAGGCATTTACTCTTTACTGAAAGCTAGCTCAAAGGCTCATTGGAAATCTCAATTTCATTTCTTATTTAAATATGAAAACATTTAAAACTCTTTGGGAATACATAGTCCCCATATACTCTTTGTAGAAATTAACTTCAATCTTTACTCTTTATTTAACTCAAAACCCGAGTCTTAAAACAAAGTTAAAACGTTTGTAAAAGACTTTTGGAAAACTTTATAAAGTTCCCTAGACTTGACTGTTAACTTTCCTTGAATTGAATTATGGATTCAAGGCTCATGATCTCATGTTATTGATGGTTTCATGTTGTTTAGACCTTAGAGTGTAGGAATCAACTAGGTAACCTAGGTACGTTTCAAGGGAACTAGTACGGAAAGATGTGGGAAGAAGTAGAAGATCTGACATCCCTAGTGCTCTGAGTGGCGTGGGGCGCTAGAGACTGAACTTCAGAACTGAAGTTGGGGCGCGCTGGCTGGCGCGGCCCCCCAAGACCCTAATTTCGAAAACACTTCTGGGGCGCTTTGGCTAGCGTGGCGCCCTAGGCCCCTGCCCAGAAATCCCCAATTTTCCTTGGTCGTTTTTCAACTCTAAACTCTCTAAACTCAATTGGGTTTTTCCCCAAACACTTAGATTCGACTATATAATCAAAATATGCAAGAATCTACTCAAAACGACACCAAATTTCATGAATCAAAATCAAGAACTCCTCAACAACTCCAAAAATGAAGAACCCAATAGAAACTTCAAACAAATCAATCAAGAACTCAATTTCTAAACCCTCAAGAATCTAAATTCGCTGAAATAAATCATGATTGGTGCGTGGGTGAACTAAATCAGTGCTATGTGATCTCACATACCTCGTAGGGATCAACCCTTGATGAAATCCACAAGTAATTCTTTGAGAACTTGACGATTTCCTTGCTTCTCCTTCTCTTTTCTCCTCTTCTTTTCTCTTCTCTCAAAACCCTAACTTATTTTTCAATCACCTAAACTGATCCCAATCAGTTTAGAACCCAACTTAATTACCAAAAATGAAATTAATTAATTGGATGGTGAAAAGACCATAATGCCCTTCTAATATCCGGTTTTGACTTTCCTTATCTAGACAGCGCAACTTCAAATGGGCATATCTCTGTCATACGAACTTGAAACTGAGAAAACTCGGAGGGGTTGGAAAGATAATTCAAAGATATTTCCTAAGGTATCTTGTAGCACACCTAACACATCCTGAACTAGGAGTTATGGTTGTTTGAAGTTCATCCAAAACTCATACTTAGCTTAATTTTGTCAAACTTTTCAAATTTGATTATTTCCAAAAACGGTTTCTTTCTAATTTCAGCTCTTTTTAGTAGCGGCGTGTTACAGTCTAGGGGGTACTTGCACCGTATCCTATTTATATATATAGTTCAAAAGTTCAAAGAAGAAAGCAAATTCAGGATTTTTTAATTCTTTTTTTCTATAACCGCCCCCCCCAAACCACCACCCCAATAATCTTTTTTTTTTATATATATTTTAATTTAAAATTTGTGTTCACTCACTTTTATATACTAGTTTTTAACACACTTGATTACCAATTCCAAAAATATATGTTATAGTAAATAGTATTGCTTATTTAAGCGAATATTTGAATAATAAGCTTAACAAAAAATAATATTCCAGATTCTTTAGTGAATGTTCAACGTGGATCGTCATATATATTTCTTATTCATGCAAACCTATGAAATGGTCAATAAAATTTTTTATTAGTTAAATGCAAGAATGTATAAATTTATTTCAATTTGATGAGGTTAATCATGTAATTAGTCTTATCTCACTAATATTACCTTATAGACAATATTTGCTTTGTATTTTTCTTGTCATCTAACCAGATGTGCTTTGCATGTGTATTTCACGTTAAATTGTGTAGATGTCAGATGAACATATGAAAAGAACAACTACATTTTATATATTCACATATTTTCACATTGGTTGTGAGTTTTTTTTAAAACTCGGAACATTTTAAAATAATATATTTTGAAGTGAGAAGATCTTGTTAACTTGATAATACATTTGTGACATAGATAATACTTTAGTTTAAATACAAATACCTACTCAAATATAAATATATATTTGCATTACTGAAAATATTTATATCATAAAATTAAATATTAAATAAATAATAAAAATTAAAATAATAACAAACTTCAACTGACGTTATTACAAGTCAAATGAGCTTTTCTTCGTCTAAAAATACTAAAATATTAAGAAATAGTAAATAAGTAAAACAAAAGGGACAATGTTTATATAGTAATTACTATTTTGAAGCAAACTTCATGAGAGTCTAAATCACATAAGTTGCATTGATAAATAAAGTCATTCTTTGTCTTCAGCAGCAAAAAAAAATCGTGACAATCCTCTAAATTTTGTAAAAAGATATCCAGAAGCATACATCTACATCAAAAGAGAAATTGTTAACAAAAACAAATGAATTTAGACTACATCATGTTAACTTCATATATTGGAACATTACATACTAATGTATATATTATGCAAAAAAATAATTATTATATCATCAAATTATTTTTCTCAAGTACTCGAGGTTATGGAATATACCCTCTTAGGATAGAACGACTTACTTCATCAGAATAGTGGTACCTCATATTCCGCTAAACTTCAAACTCGCTCAACGACAATAAAGCACACAAAATTTTTTAAAATGCAAGAAGAAGAAGAGTAGAAGATTAAAAAAATTGTGGTTGAAAAATGAGAGGAAGCCTCTCTATTTATAGTCAACAAAGGGTAGTATGAATAAATGTTTTTTGTGTCTTATTTGAAAAGTCATGACCTTTTCGAGAAGTCACATAAACCCTTTGGAAAAGTTACAACTCGTTGGAAAAGTCACAACTTATTGTAAAAGTCACAACTTTTTGGAAAAGTCACAACTCATCGAAATTCACAACCCTATGAAAAAAGTCACAACTCATCGAAAAAGTCACAACCTAAGTTAGGGATATTATAGTAATTTAACATTCAACTTAGGAGTTCATGCTTTTAAGGTAATATATAAGTTAGGGATATTATAGTAATTTAACATTCAACTTAGGAGTTCATGCTTTTAAGGTAATATATAAGTTAGGGATATTATAGTAATTTAACATTCAAGTTAGGAGTTCATGCTTTTAAGGACACAACTCGTTGGAAAAGTCACAACTTATTGTAAAAGTCTAAACCCTTTGGAAAAGTTACAACTTATTGAAAAAGACACAACTCGTTGGAAAAGTCACAACTTATTGTAAAAGTCACAACTCTTTGGAAAAGTCACAACTCATCGAAAAATCACAACCCTTCGAAAAAAGTCACAACTTATCAAAAAAGTCACAACTCATCGAAAAGGTCACAACCTAAGTTAGGGATATTATAGTAATTTAACATTAAAGTTAGGATTTCATGCTTTTAAAGTAATATAGATAGATATAGATGCGTAACCGCATAGTTTATCCAACTCAGCAAAATTAATGCCACATAATTTTAGTCAAATCAGGATAAGAAGAAGGGTCTCCTCGAACATTCCATCTTCTACAAATAATAAATAAGTATTGACCAAATATTCAAATATCGTGATTTTTTTCTAAAAGAGCTAAAGTTATATATCAATCTTATCTTATCAATTTCATCCTTATCTATCTTAAAAATTACTTTCATCTTCTCAATTTAATTGTCTATATATAGTCCTTGATATTTCAATCCTCAAACCACATTACTTCTCAACTATTATTCTTTAAGTTTTCTTTACATTTTTTGTTTCCTACAAAGATTTTCTAATATCCATCTTCATATAAGTATGACTTGTTCATATGAAAGGAAAACTTGTCGAGATATAGTTCTTTATATGGCACCAATTGCGACAATCAATAGTGCTCAAATGGTGGTATGTTGTCTTCTAACTATTTTTTTCTTCTAATTGAGATTACTCTATCAATAATTTGTTTTTTTACTTAAGTTGTTTGGAAATATTTTTGAAAAAAGGTTTATGAGATTATTATTATTTTTAATTGGGAAATAAGAGATGGCTTCTAATATAGCACCAAAACTTTAACATATTTTCTCAATTGCAGAATGATGTTGAAGCTTTAAAAGTACCTAAAAAATTGACTGATGAGAGGAAGAAAAGATCAATCTTTCATAATGTTAGCTTCCGAATTAAACCTTCTAAAGACGAATCTAACTGTTACACCATTTATAAACCACAAAAGATTAGGACAAATCTTGCAGGTGAATCAATTAGTGATCCTCACTATCTTAATCGTAAATACAAGGATATGCTACATGAATGGGTATCTGAAAGGAGACAACGTGAAAGTGGAGCATTTGACATGGTAAATACAATTTTTTATGATGTATTTTTTTCATATGAATGTTGAAACTTACTAGTTTCCTCAAGTATGTACACAAATGCATTATGTATAGGAAAAATTACCAAAATACACAACTTATTTTACCATAATCTCTGAAATTTCCTACCATTTGATTTTTTTTTATCAAAAGTCCCCTCTCGAATACATCACTCTCCTCTCGCTAATACATCCTTATCCCCCTCTTGGATACATCCCTCCCCTTTCTGATACATCTCTCACATATGTATCTGGATGTCTAGATAATGTATCTGAAAGTCTAGTGATATATCCAGATGTCCGATCCCCCCTCCCTCTATGATATATCCCTCCCTCTCAGATACATCCCTTACCTATGTATCCGGATGTGCAGTGATGTATCCGAAAGTCTATTGATGTATCCGAGATTCATAAATTTTAAGAATTTTTTGTAATTTGAAAATGAGTAGGGATATAATGTAATTAGATCTTAACACTATGGGATTTAACTAAATTAGACTTATAGATATTCATCTATCATATGTGTTTGTTGTTCAAAAGGAAGGTCTCAAAAATACCCCTAACATGTATGATATTTTACTTTCTTTACGTCATGCTTTCAAATTGGAATTTACCAAATACCAATTTTGTGAATCCTCCACTTAATTATATTATCACTCATTTTCTCTTCATTTTTTTCTGAAAAAAAAGTGAAATTTATTTTGTTTGTGTTAGGCGATAATCAAAATTGTTTTCTTGTTTCAAATTAGTATG